CAACACAGTAAGCACACTTCACCAATGTTACGAACACACAAATACATATTTATAAGCTTGTGGAAACACTTAACCACTCATATATTTACTAACAATACTTGATAATACTTACTAATAAAACTTATTCTTCCGCAACAAAATATGCCCTCTTCGTTTCAATGAAACATCAATTTTGCTAGTTTACATATGCATAAACTATTGCCATGCCATCCTTATTGAAAAGCGCATTAACTTCGCTACATCTCCAATTCAGATTTTAATTTCTACGGAAATTTTCTCGGCCTCGATCATTTTAAACTTCACTAAAGTTTATTAAACGTCTATCTTCGATCTGTCTTCAAAGCGCTGCTATCGTCGAATACTAAACTGTTCGCATGCATCGTCGAAAATAAAACAAAACCGTTCGACGGCATGAAAAGTTGAAGCGCAAAGCATGGGAAAACAAATGGCCAGTAAAACTACCGATATCACTACTGCTACTGCTATCGACATCAATATCATTGCTGATGCTATCACAACCGCCATCATCATTATTACTAATATGTCAAAAGCATTGTTAAGGAGTGATTATCACTGCGCTTAGATTTTTCACTTTCACAAAATCTGACTCAAATTCAATCGAATCAAATTAAATCACAGCACTTCAGATGCGGTTAAATCAGATCAAACCAATCAGTATTTCACTACGAATCAAGTCAAAACGATCGGTAAATCACTATGAATGAATTCACTACTTTCAGCAAATCATTCTCAACAATGCACAATGACATAAACACATTTAGATATTTATGTATACATATATAGACTCACTGAACCGCCATATATATACTCATTCCTTCGGCTTGGCTCCATCTAAATGCGAATTTTAAAAATATAAATTGACCAAACCTCACAAAGATCGACAGTCTCATAGAAAAATTATGCTAATGACATCGGGTCAGTAGACGTCTAATTTCACGCACATTTCATTAGACGCCCAAATTTTTTTAACGAAACAGACTAAATGTGAATGTAGGAACAGACTCAACGAAAGTTGCGCATCCAAAATGGAACATTTAAAAAAATTGCCCAAAAATTCTAGCTCAATAAAGGAAGTGAATGCAAATCATACCTCGTGTTCGATGAACGCCTGATCGGTATCGACCAGCCATGCGCCCAACAACGTCTCGTCAACACCTGGACACAGCGATGCCAGATGCGATGTGCACAACGTCGACTGTGCATTGTCCGACAGAGTCATATCAGCCACAAGTTCACGAAGCAATTGTGCGTACAGATCTAAAAATTCATCATAAAACTCAAAATCAATGAACAAATCAACAAAACGAACGAATCGAATGCAAAAAAATAATTTCAACGAAAAATCACATCACTCATCACATACGTTCATAATATTTCGGTGAGATATGGCTGAGTAGCACATAGATTCGCAATCGCACCACCGATATGAGTGTCCTCAATTTTGCGCCATAATTTCGAACCAACAACGCCACACTGCAAAAAACATTTCACATTCTTATTATTTTCTACTCAACAACAACAACAATCCTTATTTAAATTATTGCAAGTGTTGTTCACAGAAATGTGAAAAATAGTTGATTGAATAAACTCAACTAAACAAATCAGTGCAAAACAATAAATAATAACAACAATACAAATGCGTTATTGTGAATTCAATAAACATTATTGAACTGTTTATTTATTTGTTGTTCGATTCGATATCATTTATATTCGATGTCACTGCATTGCATTATTCGCTGCCCGATATCACTGTGAATTGAACTGTTTACTGTTTCAAACGAATAAATATTGAATACCGCAAAACCACAAAAAACTCACTGTGAAATCATCACCAGACAACACTCGACCGGATGGATGATTTTACGTATCACTTCATCGGTCATCTGCTGCGGACAGCTATCTGCGAAGACGGCCATCGAGGCCAGTGCTCCGCTACGTGCCTCCAGTGTACACGTCCACGTGAACGCATCCCCCCGATTCTTCTCGGATTCAGCCTCTTTGATCGATCGCGGGAATGTACTCTTCCACAACAGTAACAACCGCGGCAAGCAACTCTGCACTGATGACCGTCCTAAAACTTCCATTACTATCACTGGATTATTTTCTTTTCGGGAACAATAGCACTGCTTCATCACTTGTTATTCCTCCCCTGTTATACCCAACAGACACCTTCTATCTCTTGCTTAGCCAAATTAGTCTAAAATCAGTCCTACTTTTCTAGCCCTATCCATCCTAGAGTACCTTCACAGCATTATATATAAAACTGTTTGCTAACTTCCACATGAAGAACGCCATTCATTCTGAGAATTCTGACAATAAGCCCAAAAATAATATATTACTAATAATACGCTAATAAATCAGTTTACTGTCAATCATCTCATTGAAATGCATTCGATTATTGATAACCTCTCAAATGTGATATACATCACAACTAAGTCATCTTATATGATAGCATTAAAACGCATAAAATGCCCACAACAATAAAACATAAGATGCAAAGGAGAACATTTCAGTTCATTGCAGTAAATATACATAATTTTTTGAAAACAAAGAATTCCACTTCACCAACGAACCTAACTTGAGCACAGCAGAGATCAACGTCCATCCGGCCTGAGTCTTCACCTGCGCGAGACGACTCGCTTGTGACGCTGTTTTAATCATATCCTCAGCTACCGTGAAAACTTGCCTAGAAACGAAACGAAGTGGACAGATACGAGAAGACGACCGACCACAATAGAAAAAGAAAATTTTTCGAAACCGAAAGCTTACGGACGGATATAAACCATGAAGTAGAACAAGGATAAGAATGACACCAAACAACGATAATAACTACAGTGAAACAAACTTCGATTTGCCATTCGGAATACCCAATTTACAATCTGATGAACCGGCTAGAAGCGCTGCCAAAGCTAGCGAGTAACCACTTATCGCATCGCCACATACTTTCATATGCTCCAATCTACAACGGTTATCAAAATACAACTCCTCATTAGGTGAACATACACTTATTGTTAGACATATCCAAATGAATGAAATCAAATGGTATCCAAAAATTTCAAAACGAAATCAATGATATTAGCACACCAATCGATTTCGAGCAAAAATTCCCTCTGCGAACCATGATCTGGTTTGTATCTATTAACTAATTATCTGTCATTAAAACGAAATCCAAACGAAATCAAATCAACGACATCATCACCACTAACCTACTGATACACCGATCAATTAACGGTGTCAATTGCGACGGTACACTAATCGTAGCGCATCGCAGACACCATGCTGCAGCCACACGAGTGGCTTGAATTGGATGCAGCAAACACGCGAATATCGGTTCCATTATACCTGTAAAATATCCATATCAACTACAACTGCTATCATAAACAATAACCAAACACCACTTCTTTCAATTACCCGCATCAAATGGCTCGCTCGATTTTGTTCTGTTTCATCATTCACATTATTCTATGATATCTCGCTACTTTTCTTGAAGTTTTGCTGTTTCACAAATGAATTTCCCATAGATGGAATGTTCTGAAGACTGAATGGTGCACCATTTAAAAGAAAGAAAACCTTTGAAAATGTAAGAGAATGAAACGACCCTAACCTGATGCTTCAACAAATAACGGTGTTACAGCCGTACCGATTTGTCGAACCAAACACGATATCTCCAGAAGTATTGTAATCGATGCTTGTGCACTCGCGTACGCTTCCGGACCGAGGACACGATCGACACCCGGGTCGGGATTATAATCTACAAAGCAACCAAAAAAAATTTATATTTTATCAAATTCTCATCGATGAACTCTTCATCAACTATTACTATCCCTCCGAAAACAGTCTAAAATCAGACACCCTCTCCCTTTCTCTTTGTCATATTCATATCAGCGCATGCTCACACCCGTCGTTTTTTATTACAGCTACTCGCTACAGTCCATCATACCCATAGACTCTTATCAAAAAACTTTGCAAATAATCAATTTGAATGAAGTAATCCCTTCCCAATGCATCTTTTCCATCAATGATAACTTCAAACTAACCGAATGAATTGATACAGTCAGCTAGAATGGCACCCAGTTGCTTACAAACAGCAATCTGTGCTTGTTCACTTAACATTGCACCCATCGTACACCTCAGAATGTAGCCAATACATCGACGCATATAAACCACTTCGGCTGCTTGAGCTGGATTACTGCAAATTTCAGTCATTTTCTTAAATTATTGTTCACAAACTGATCGCTTCAATCTCATTTCCATGTAATTTGTTGTTTAAATTATCCCACTTCTGAATCATCGTCATTTAAAATAATTAGATGATGACAGCTAAATGAGACTTGAAAATTATCGTGTGAAAAATTTAATATTTTCGATGAAAGCTTCCATACTTTGTATATGCAAGTGGTCCACATTTTGCGATCACTTCCACCAGATGCCTCAGCACCATTAACATGTTCTTCTCGAGCCATAGGGAACCTAATTCTTTGATGAGTTCAATATATCCCTGAAACATAACAACAACACTTCATTCTCTTCAGTCATTTTCAATCGACTTTCGAAACGAACTGAAAAATAAACAACATTCAATTCGAAACTCATTCAAATTTTTCGAGTTTCCACTTAATTAAGCGCAACGAGATTCCAAGAAATAACTAAAAACAAAAACAACGCAATTTCACATATCACGCATCAATATTATTCTCGAATCGCACACACAATTACTCTCCTTTCAATTATTCAATTCTTACTCGTTCATAATCTATCATGATTTTAATGTCTCTAATTTCTTTACATTTACATTTTTATATATACAAATGAATTCTCTTTAGCAAATAAATCCCACTACCAATTTTTCGAGTAAATAAAAGAAACTACAAACGAATAAAAGAAATTCTCCTCCAAAAATGCAGCAACACACTTACTAATGTCACTCCAATTCGTATCTCCTTCTGTCCACCAGTCACTGCAGCCGAACCACTCTTCAAGAAACCACCAATACCACCACGTAAAAAACCAACCGACAGAATGCCGAACGCCTCCTCAACTGTGGTTAATTTTGCCGCTGAATTGGACGCACCGGTTTGCTGTTTACTCCCTAAATGTGCTAATCAGCAATAACCGATAAGATTATAGCCGATTTATAATCCAGGGCATGTTAATAATAATAATAATAATAATAAAACAAATGAGAATAATAATAATAACTAACCCGGAGTGGTGGCCTTCGGTGGGTTGTTAGCCGTATGAAAGAGAACGGCAAAAAGTCTCGCAACAGCTAATCGCACGTCATAATTACTCGATTCCAACGCTTTAAAGCACAGTGTGCTGATACTCTCCACTTCATTCGTATACAAAAATGAATATTCGGGGACCATTGCTGATAAACACTGAAATATTCACTCAAATTTTGCATAACATTTAAATCCTCCAATTTTCTGAATTTCAATGTTGATGTTTCAATTCCCAAATATATCTATACAATACAAGCTGCTTATATGCATCAACCTTTATTCTTCTCAAATGAACAAAGAGAATGTCAATTCAAGTAATTTTTACACTCAATTCGGACTGATTCTAGCTATGAAACATCAAAAGTCAACAACTCATCATCACCGAAAGTACCAAAAAATTGTTGAACTAAATCCACTCACATTGATCGCAGCCACTCGAACCGACATAACGCGATCATTGAACAGATTTCGAACAATCTTATAGAGATCTTTATGAATCGATGAGGCCGCTGTACCAAGTCCCACGACCATTTTAGCGAATGTGTTCATTAGTTCTGCACGGCCTTGAGACTGTAAATTTCAAAATTAATTTTTATTTTACATCAACCATTCCATAACTAAACACTCGCAGAATCCACTGGCAAATCATGCTCAACTCAAGAATGCCCGCATCTATATCTATATTATCGCTACCCAATGAAAACACCTTTATCATTACTACCCACTAAAATATTTTACATTCAATCGGAATACATCAAATAAAACCTGCTAAAAGCTGCTCTGAGAACAGCCTTAACATATTACTGTCTCGAAAAAACACTCCACTTCATAATCCCCTAAGATCCGCACCAATGGGAAAGCTATCAAAATTCATTCTCGATACTCGCCAATTGCGTAGAAACTCATATACATTGAGAACAAAACAGAGGCTATATGAAGCACTCGTTCAAATACCTCTCCCAAAGCACTAACAAAAGTTCACGACCTCAGCAGACAACTATTTATGTCAACCTCGTGTTTTCAGAAGACCGTCGTGTCTAATTCATCATTGTGAAGTGAACTCCGATTGTCAGTGCCAATCTAAAATTTCGCCACTGCAATGGCTGTTCACCGAACTTTTGGCTAATTTCTATTGATAATTGCGCTCACAACCACTGCACTACACACACTCTCTCCACCCCTGAACATCCTCCCTACATACAT